CGACGACGACGACGACGACGATGGAGATGATCGTCGTGCTCGGCTGGGTGGCTTCGTTTCAAACGCGGCGCCTTCGGCTCCACCCCATCCACCACCGCATCCTTGGCTTCCACGGACTACCTGCGGGAAGACAGCAAAGAAGGTTATTTAGCTTCTTAGGGATGTTCATTGGGATGGGTTTTTTTTCATTTCTCTCGTCTGACAATTGAATCTTTCTGGAAGAGCTTGTTCTTTGTATTTGTTCTCGTACATATTCGACGAGTTTAACACACAATCGCCATGTGGGTTTTGTAATGCGGCTTTTGCAATGTTCGCTGACTTGTGACGTAAATAGTTCGATTGGGTGCACACACGCGATCTTAAAGTTCTTTGCGCTGGAAGCTCGAATGTCCTTAAACAATGGCGGTATATCAACGGCACTGCAGCCATATATCCCACGTTCATCCGCGTGGAACTTTGACTCCTCGAACAGCCACACGGAAGTAGCGTCGCGGACTCACAACAACGTTTCCGAATATTCTCTAACTAGCTTTAGCGGCCTAAACTGGTCGGCCGATAGCCCCAGGATTATTTAAATTGGAACCCGTGAGGTGTTCCTTTAAACGGCAGTTTAACATCCCACGCTCGTCTCAACATGGCGGGAACTCTGTGGTATCTCTTTTTTTCTTCTCGCTGCGTTTCTTCGCCGCCGAGACGACGGTCTCGCCAAGACACCGCGTGCCTAATCTAACATTCCTATGTGTTTTCCAATTGGGGAACCCTTTCGATCTTAACGTGGTAATCCCAAGGTCCTTTAAACTTCTTTAATTTAGGACATTAAATTTCCTGAAACGACTACAACCGGCTGGTCAACGTGGAACTCCTCGGGCTCCTCGGCCAACGGTACCGAGATAGCAGCGCGGATCTAACGTTCCCGGATATTTCCCAAACTTGCCGACCTTCGTTCTTTTTTCTTTTTTTTTTTTTTCTTCTTTTGGACGACAATACCCTCTCGGCCACGCCGTAGTCCCAACGTGATGGCGAGCATTCTTGGCGCGGTTGGAGGAACGTTCGCGCACGACGCTCGGACATCCGGGAGCGCGGCGTGGCGGCGGCTGCGATCAATTGTTGCGGGGCTCGCGTTGTTGGCATTTAGCCGAGCGTGGCTTGCTCGCACGGCTACACTGTATTAATTTGGTACAGTGCGTTGTGCGGCACGTTGCGGGGATAGCGAGCGCGGAAAAGAAGTTGCGCAAGCAAGCGTTGCTCATACCGCTCGGCGTCGTACACGCGCGCCGTCCTCTTCTCACTCTCTCTTTCTCTCTCTTTCTCTCTCTCTCTCTCTCTCTCTCTCTCTCTCTCTCCCCCCCTCACGCTCTTCTCTCTTTCGTCCTCTCTTTCTCGCACCCGCGCTCCTACCTCCGAGAGAGCTCAAGCGCTTTGCTAGAGCGAATTTATACACGGTTACGGTGCGTTCCCACGCCTAGAGCATGCGAGAGAGCCTTGCTCTTCGAGGTGCTCCAAACGAGCGCCCGCAGTCGATGTACCGAGCCCGCAACCTCGTCGCGCAAGAAAACCCTGGAAAATCTAGGTCGCCCCCAGCGTCATTGTGCCGCACGTTCGTCGCTTAATGGAGAGTAACGCGGGCGAAGTAGCGCCTACGATGATGGTAGCGAAGATCACGGCGGTGCGAGAAAGAGAGGGAGAGAGAGTGCGAACGCGTGTTGTACTTTAACCCTTTCACTGCTGAATTAACTTCTCTTGAGAAAATTATTAAAATATTTGGTGGTCCTACGTTTTTTGGGTCGCTGATTACGAATCTAAAGACAGATTTGCAAAATTCAAAATGGCGGACTCAATATGGCGATCATGATGTACAAAATTAATGAAAACTCCAATTATTATTAAATAATGACCGGGTCGTAATAAGAACATATGATTCTAGACGATGGAACTTGATCGAGCTGGAAAAAATTGATGTGGGAAAATGTTCAATATTGCATATTTATGCTTACTAGAGATTGAACATTCATTTTTGAGTAAAATAATATTGATAGTATGGATAAGATGGAGATACAGAATGAAAAAATTAGGAAAATAGAGCTGAAAAGTGCAAAAAAATCAAATTTCAGCCGTTTCTGTAGAAATATTTGTTTGTAAAAATAAGTCTAACCTGCAAAAATACACTGAAAAAAATATACGTTTTTGTACAACATCAGACAAATATTTGGTGAAAATTTGGTGAAAATCTACATTCAATACTCTCCGAGGAATCGATTTTTCCCTAAAAAAGCATTTTTTTTCAACTTTAATTTATTATAAATAATCACAAATGAATAATTGGGTATAAAAACCTATTGCAGTATATTGAACAACTACTCAGTTATCTGGAAAACTCAAATCCCCGATTAGTTCTTCAAAATTATATGATTTATAACGCAAAATTGAATCAAGAAAAGGTGGGAAGTATACTTCTCACTAACAGTGAAAGGGTTAAACGCTGCAGAGAGAGAGAGAGAGAGAGAGAGAGAGAGAGAGAGAGAGAGAGAGAGAGAGAGAAAGAGAGATTATTCTCTTCAGCTCGCGGACACATCAGATCCAGATCGATTCTAGTCGCGAGCAACATCGCGAAAGTTGGTGACTCCTCACGTTGTAGCTTCGCAAGATTGACAGGCAAAAAGATGAAGGATTAAGGAAATTATCAGGTCCGTCTTCTCCTCAAGACATTCTTGGTTTCGATCTCTGACGCTGCTGGAAGGATCGACAGCCCGATTTCACAATGGGCTCATCGACGGTTTTAATCATAGACCAAGGTCCTAATTCTCCGGTGATTAAAACCAGAAGGATCCCCGATCGCTCGAAGCGAGAAAATTAAGGGGTCCGAGGAAACCTCCGAAGGGGTAGGAGGACAGGCGGGGGAGGGGCCACTGAAGAATGTCGTCCGTCCGTCGAGAAATCCGGCGGCCCAGGAAATGTAGGTCCCAAGAGCGACGAGGGGGCCACAATGCGATTGTTCCCCGCAGCGATCTTTTTTCTTCTCCCTCCCGCTCACCTGTCCCCTCACCCGCAGACTCTGTGCCTTGTGCAACGCGATCTAGTTTCGAACTCGCGAGACCGGCGTACAGTAGGAAATCGGGAACCGATCCCGGGCATCGTTTCAGCAACGTCGCCCGGAGGAAATCGAATCGTGAAGTTCGACGATCTCGCAACGATTCCGAGGGAAACGGCGAGGAGGAGGTCGGGGCGCGCAGGAGGAGCGGCAGAAGGAGGAGGCAGAGAGAGAGAGAGAGAGAGAGAGTGAGAGGGGGAGAGAGGGAGGGAGGGAGGGCCGCTTCGAGGCGGCTCCGTATGCCCGATCGGGGCCTTCGCGATCCGCGCTCGCGCGCGGAAGATCGATCGAGCGGGCTAATGAGGCCCAGCGATCACGACGATTTCGCCGATTCTGCGAATTCGCCGACAACGCCCGACGCCACTTTCCTTCCTCGATCTCCTACCGATTATTCTCCCTTAATGTCTTCTTTTCCGTTCGTTCTCTTCCGTCCGTGCCGGTGCTGCTTGCGTCGCGATTCTCGGCCGTGGCTGCGACGTGCGCGCACACCTGGCGAACGCGCCTCGCGAAATTTAGGTGACCCAGGAGGCGCTCCTCCGACACGGTCGTTCGGATAAACTAGACCGCGCAAGTGTCGCCATTCTCTCAAGGCCTGATATCCGAATGCGAGACTCGCGCTTCATTTGAAATTGGCAATCTGGGCAATCCGAGGCTTTTTGAGACGTCAGCTCGCGAGTACCGTTGATGTTGCTTAACGAGCCTGAATCCGCAATATTCGCTGCGAACTGCGAGGGGCTCCACTTAAACGGTCGAATTCACTTCCGAGTATTTTTCAGAGTTTTGTGGGCCGCGACTCCTCGGCAAGAATCGCTGTCGGTAGGAAGAACCCGGGCGCGATTGGTCGCGATTGCGAAGTGGTTTGCGTGCAACAAGCGGTATCCTGCCGTTTCCCGGTAAAAACGATGAGGGCTCTTTCTCTCTCCCTCTCTCTCTCGTGCTGGGAACTCGACACCACCGGTATTCGGGCTCAATCGATCAAATTTCGGGCCCGGAAGAAAAAGAAAGAGCCGACGAGTCAATCCTCGCTGACGCGAGCGAGCGGACGAAAAAACGCGAACACGCTCTCGCAGCGAGAGCACGTCTTCGCCGTCCCTCGCCAGCGGGCCCCGTCTTTTCATCCTGTTGGCCGAATCCCCGCGCTGTACAGCAGGAATTGGTAAAATTTTACGAGCGTCTTTATACGCCGTAATAACACGTCTGCGGCCGGACTTTATCGCTTCATTTGGCCGATATAATTTGCCAACGGACGTCACGTGTCCTCCTTCATTTCTCTCGCCTCTCCGCGAGTGACTCACCCCGACGCGGATTCGCGGCGATCACGATTCCGTGACTTTGCACGTCGCGTGCAGCATCACGGGGACATCGTCGTGCGGGTAGGTGCGAATCACCAGCACGCTGGAGTAACCCACAAGTGTCCTCCGCGAGGTATATTAACGATGAAGTAACCCTTGTGCCACCCTGTCATCGTGTTTCAGCGAATTTGATGAGCGGCCGGGTTTCTTTGCCTCTTATTTTTTATGGTGAAATCTGTTGTGTGAACGACGACACACCCCCCGCTAACGCAAAATGTCCGCTGAATGTCCTTTACCGTCGCGAGTAGCCGAGTGACGTCTCCGGTTGTTCCCCTTTATCGCAAATCTCGAATATCCTTTCTTGATTTCAGTATGAGCGGAAGATGTCTGGTAAAGAGAAAATATTAGGATTTACATTAGTGAGATTTTTGGAATTTATCAAATTATTACTGACGGTTTGTTGTTCGTGACAAATCCGTGCAAAATCCTATCTCAAGTTTCAGCAAGCTTGAATCGGGTAACACATTTGTTATTTTTTTATCGTAAGTTTCGAGAACAGCCTCTTTACTTTGATCTCAATAAGAGTCGACATGAGCGGATAACATCCGGCGAAAAGAGAATATAAGGATTTCTAATGAGATTTTCCAGGTTTATCAATTAATTATTGTCGATTTGTCGCTCACGATAAGCTCGGTGGACTTATTTTACATTTATGCAAAATATTACCTACTTCTCGACTTACATCGAGTAATATGTTCTTCTTCTCACCGCAGATCTCCAATATCCCCTTATCTTGATTTCAATCTGAGCTACGTGAAAATGAGCGGAAAACTCTGGGAAAAGAGGATGTGTGAAGTTTGCTAATAAGACGACATGACCGAACCGATTCGGAACCTGGTAATCATCCTCTTCGACTCCTCCGAAGCGTGAGGAGAAAAACATGATGATTGAGGCGAAGTGCGATTTGCCGACGATGTCTCACCCGCGCGCGGAGAACAAGGACTTGAGTTCTGAGAGGGTTGCGCGCACCGCGGAGGAGCAAGGAAAGGGAGAAGGGAAAAGAGAGAAGCGCGCATTATCCGCGTTGCGAAACACGTAACGAGAGCTCGTAAGTCCGACGTTTATGTCGTCGGAGTAAAACGCGGAGTGAGTATCGGCGAACTGGTTGCAAAACCGACTGCGGGGGCAGGCGACGCGGAGGGTGCCGCGGGATGGCGAAGAATGGAAACGCGGCGGAGAGGAAGTCGAGGAGTACGATCGTGAAATGATATTGGACAAATGAAGCAATAAAATCCTTAGCGAGCGAGCGAACGAGCGAACGGGCAAACTCGCCGGCCGCAAAAGTAGCTGGGAACCGGTGATGCTGTCCGAGAATTATGATGTAACGGTGTTCGTCGAGAAACAAACAGGTTCAGTAGAGAAGACACGAGGCGGGTATTAATAGAGTATTTACTGCGGCCGCGGCGAATAGATTGCAAATAAATTGGAGCGCGTTGCGTAACAAAGCTGCATTCGGCGAACAGGCGAAAGAGGAAATCGCATTAATCTCCTTTGCGAGAGATGCCGCGGGGAAGCAAGAGAGAGAGAGAGAGAGAGAGAGAGAGAGAGAGAGAGAGAAAAAAAGAGAGAGGGAGCATTGTGCGGTATAATTAACCGCAAGATAGAAAAGTCAAAGTCTTCAGGCGTAAAGTAATATGGCCGAGATTGTTCTCTCAAAGAGTTGTCTTTTCGTGTCGAAGGAAGAAGAAATGAAAAATTAAAAGCCTGCTATGTAATACAAAAAAGGCCGGCTCGATCCTTTGAACTGGTGGAGAACCGGTAGAAATGAAAATTTTGGAGGTCATATTAATTTAAGAAATGATCTTCCAAAACGAGCACTCGACACATCCGGGGCATGTTGGATCTTGGTTGGCAAAAATTTGTAAAATATTTCTCTTAGAACTTTATTTATTTGATGCAGATTGTGGACGAATGGAGAAAAATCTCTCAAAGCAAACTCGAGTTTCTCCGGAATATTCTGGAATATCAAGTTCTGCGTCTCGCGAGATCCGAATGACGCCGAACGTTCCTCCGGAAGCGCGGCGGATTTTTGCGCGCGCGTGCGCGAAAATATTTCGAGAGGGCAGAGTTGGGGACGGAGGCGGAGAGAAGAGGCGACCAGTTAGCTTCACCAGCTAGCTTCGTGTCAAAAAGGACGCGAGTTTTTTAAAAACACGCGCGACAGCTTTCTCTGTCGTCGCC